CTACTAGCTTCTTGTTCCTAGTAGTAAGGCACTTGTTACTACTAGCGTGGCACCTGTTACTAGTAGTATTAAACAATTAGTATATCGTGTTGTTTAAATATTAGAAGACGTTATTCCAACCTTTTGGCTAACCCATGTCGTCAAACATGTCACCGCACACCGATATCCCCGAGCGCACCAACTGCACTGTGCACCTTTTCATGCCTAAACGCTACCTGACCCATCCAAGTGAGCCTGTATTTGTGTGATCCACATTTGGAAATCGCACAGGTATTCCAAACTTAACTGATAGTGGCCTCCAAGCTACTAGCGATGGCCAGGTATTTCTCAATTGTGCTGTGAACGAGGATCTTCTTACGCTGACACGTCAGCAAAACACCATGGCTCCACAGATGACGATCGGATTGAGATAGTCGTGATTGCACTAGTGCTGCCATGTCGGCTGGGTAGTTCTAAAGATGTCAAAAGATGTCAAACGTTTTAAGTAGAGCATTTCATTGGAGGCCGTCATGAAGTAGGTTGGAGGCCAATTCAAAGTAAGTAGAGCATGTCATTTTCTGTCGAACATGCGCTGATTGTCGAACTGCACACCTGCAACTTCGACAGCCACGTTTGGAGGTGAACCTATTCGACAGACGTCAGCACGAACGCCCCACAAGTTGCGTTGGTGTGGCACGGGGTACGGTTCCCCCCCCTACGGTGCTCCCTACTGTGCCTCCACCTTTTCGTGGTGTCCGTAGCTTGGAGGCAGTCCTCAATCTACAAGACATGGTAGAGACCGAAGACGGGCAGACGATTGCGGAGTGCCCTCGGGGCAGATGAGGCATGTGGCGGAACGGACCGTCAGCGGAGGTTGGCCATGATCCGAAGGGAAGAAAAGGAAGCAGTAAGGGAATCAGAAAAGCATAGACTCCTCAACAGGCACTGCAACCAATGGCGAAAACTGGCTCGGGTGAATGTCGGCTTGGTTGGCCTCAGGTACGCGACATTGGCAGTGAAAGCTGGCGCCATTCCAAAGCTCCAGGACAACGAAAACAACGCTAGATTCTTTTTTGGTCGTTCCTTCTTCTGCATTTCTCTTTTCTTTTTGATTGTCTTTGAAACTTTATTTGTTGTTTATTGTTTCCATTGTCAATCTTTTTTGGGAAGGAAGCGGAAGAGGAGGGCAAGAAGGTAAGTTACTAGTAGCTTAACTAGCTACTGCCTGAGGGTGAGGGATGATTTGGTTCCAAGGAAAGTTAGCTTGGATGGTACCTTGATGAAAGCGCACTACCAGTGTGTTTCCACCAATCTCCAGCACCAGAACAGTAAATGCATTCTTGGCCAAAACACTCTTCGAGAACAGTTCTTGTTTGGGAGACCAATCTCATCCTATGCAATCTCCAACAACAACAGTTGGCTTGTTTTGTACTAGTACTGGACTAGTCAAGAGAACACTTGTAAGGTTTGAGGATTGTTGAGGTCTTGACATGTCTAGAGCGCTTTGAAACTCTTTCCGAATCGTTTTGTCTGGTCTACGTGGGGCCTTATATAGATGGCCTTTGGAAAGGCCTTAGAAGCACAGAACGTCCAGTTGAGTTTCCCTAAAACATCTAGGAACCAAATCATTTGTACGAGCGCTTCCTTGAAGCATTAGCTATCCGGTGTCCAGTTACTAGTAGCTTAAGTAGCTAGGAGCTTACTCCCTTACGTAATTAAGTAGGTGCCTACTTAACCGCAACTAAAGAAACATAAAAAACATCTAAAGACTTAAAGAAGAAAAACATCTACACATTCGCTCTGTTCTGTATTTTTTTTGGGGAGTCTTTGATCGCAGGGGTCTTCGAGCCCGGTTGCCAGGAACTGGAGAAATCGGAGGATGACGAGGTCAAAACGTCGGCGATGGAGGTGCCCAGACAGTGACGTGGGTGACGGCCATTGCTACTAGGAGCAAGGACGCTACTAGGTTGGAGGCCATCGCTAGGAGCAAGAAGCAAGTAGGTTGGAGGAGGCCATCGCTAGTAGGTTGAACTTTACATGTCTTTTCTTTCCTTGGTTAGAGGGTTATTGTAAGAGGGTTAAGGCTAGCTACTAAGTGGGCTGCTAGGCGCCAGGACGAAGAGCTCGGGTTTCGGGGAGCTTTCTTGAAGACCCCCCGAAACCATGGATTTTTTGCTTCGATTCCACGGGAAGCGCAGAATCAACTTGTAGAAAGGACAGCCGGATTAGCAGGGACGTAGTGTGAGCTTTTCGTTTTCTTTATTTGCTTTGTTTTCATAACATCTCAGGTTGCTCGGGATGTTGGAAATCGTAAACCTTTACTGCGATGTCCTTCCAGGTGCTGGAGTCACTCCAAGAATTTGCTTGAGAGTGCTGAAATTTGCCGATTCTGCCAGCCCTGCTGCTTTGGTGTCCGGAACTGCATGCTGGCATATTGGCTTCGGCGGCCAAAGCAGCGCGCTGGGCTTTTTAAGAACCGGCCGCAAAATGTGCTGGCCAGGTTGTGTTTGGCATGCCCTGACGCAAGACCAAGTGCTGTTAGAAGAGAGGAATTGCCAACCGAAAAGAAAACCAACGAAAAAGAACAGGCGCTCCTGACGCGACGCTGGTAGTGGGCGCTCCTGGCCTTACTACGAACGTAACAAAGGACATCGCTACGAACGGAGCGATCGGATGGAATACAAACAAAGAAAACACTTCTTGATTGGACAAAGACCATAATGAAACAAGTTATGTTCAGTTGTGCCACTTTGCAGTCGCCTAAAGCCCTTAAAGGTGCCCCTTACAAAGTCCAACGTCCTGCGTTATCTGAAAGGTATGCTTTACCTGGCCTCGAAAGCATTTGACCGGCAAAGGTCAAAGTGCAGCAAATGCCTTACTTCTCCCAAGCCGAAACAGGACTTGCAGGAAGAGTTTTGTGATATTTGATAAGGTTTGAATGGGTCTTGTATACCTTTTGTTGGAGGCCATCGCAAGTAGGTTGGAGGCCATCGCAAGTAGGTTGGAGGCCATCGCCCTTAGTTTTTGTTGGGTTTTCTGTTTGATGGAAAACTCCGCAGCAAGTTTTCCGTGGCTTGGAGAAGCTCCAGCAAAAGGTCTGCTCAGCTTCTTGTTGCAACAGCACATTGTAAAGTCGACCTGCTAACCACTGCCGTGGCGCAGCTGAAGCGTTTGCGGATCTTTTGCACACCTTGCGAAGGATTGATTGCTTTGAGCAGTTGGCAGGAAAAGACAATCATGAATCGCTCTTAGGTTGGAGGCCATCGCTAGTAGGTTGGAGGCCATCGCTATGGATTGCTTTGAGCAGTTGGCAGGAAAAGCACTTCTCATCCGTTTTGTGTCAGATTGCTGCATGAATCTGCATGACCTTGAGCCACGTTGGGAGACTTCATCAAGTCATGTCATGTTTGAGCCATGTGGAGAAAGACAAACATGAGCTGTGGTCATTCTGACTTCCTGATGATCACTTGGAAGCAGTCATGCAAGTGGCGGCTACTATTTTTCTCAGGCACCGACTGAAGACAACAAGAACTCCTCCAACTCTTAAAAGATGTAGGTCTTTCAGGTCTTACACAGGTCTTACATGCCCAGGGAACAAAGAAAAGCGCCATTTGGACACTTTCGTGACGTTCAACGACGAACCACAACGCCGAATTGCTGTCCATCGCCGTCCATCGCATGGGGAAGACTTTTGAGTGCCTTTCAGAGCAGCACATTGCCTGGCTGAAAGAGCAGCGGGTGTTCTTTGTCGCAACTGCTGCGGACAAAGGACAGGCCCGTCCCTTGATCATGTGGTGCCTTGAGGATAAGGGGTGGATATGATTTATACCTAAGGAACTGCCCAATCATGTTCCTGGCTGAGGTCATTTGGGTTTCCACAGAAGCCATGTACTTTTCATGTGCATTGCTGGAGCACAGAGCCTCGCAGATTGAACGGAAGACCCCAAAGAGACGAGAAGACCTCGTGACTGACCAACTGCCGAGCCGATGCTGACTTACGTCGTGCCAACTAAGCCAACTAAGCTGCTGCAGATGTCACGAGGTCGAACACGTGTTTCGTCCACTTTGTTTCAGTTGACCAGTGCCTTTTTTTGTTTTTCTTCTCTATCTATATATATATATATTATTTTCCGAGAGTTGAAGTTGACGGCTCCAGAGTCCGTCACCTCATCCAAAAAACACGACCATCAGCGTGTGGAATTCAAACTCTGGACCAAGGTTCCACTTAGGTGTGGTGTCACCTGGGGACAAAATGGCACAAATGGGACCACCATGCACTCCTGTCAGGACACGTTAACGTGTCGCCCAAGGGCTATGTTCAGGGCACTTTTGCAATCCTTTCTCCAAAGTCTGTTGCGCCTCGGCAAGCATGAACGGAGCATGAAACACTCATAGCTACTTTTGTCGAAGAAAGTGTAGACTACTATTTGCTTTGAGCACATGTTGAATTGCATGTTTGTTTGTAACGGTTATATACAGTGTAGAGCACCTGAGGCAACACATTGCAAATGGATGATTCTGCTTGGTTGTATTTAGATCTTTCATTAGCATTGTGGCAGCCGTGGCAAAAACCCAGTTTTGGAGCAGCTCACTGTGTTGGGACGAAAACAGAATTCGCTGTCTCTTTTCATCGTTTACTTATTTAGTGAGAGGCAACGCGGCCTCAACTTAAAGCAGTGCTTCAGGCTTCAGGGACCTTCGTTGAGAGCCGCCCTCTGTTGAGAATCCCGACGCCATGCTAGTGATGGCCTCCAACCTACTAGCGATGGCCTTCAACCTACAGTAGCCTGATTACTCCCTTTTCCTTGTTTTGTTCGCCAGGCCTATTTAGATTTCACAGGCAGTGGAGCTGAAACTGTGGCTCACAGCCTGCAGAATGGTCGCATAACACTGTGCTTTGTGGCCTTCAAGGGTGACCCCGTGATCATGCGCCTCTATGGCACATCCAAGGTCAGGAAAGTCGGGCTGTGAAAATCATTCGTGGATTGCTGATTGCTCTCACAAGAGCTTGCTGTATGAATGGATAATTTATTGTTCCCGGTGCCCCCCCATGCAATTCTAAAAGGAAGAACAGAAAGGAAGGAGAGAAAGAAAGGTGTAAGGCCAAAAGAAGAACACGAAAAGAACGAGCCATTATCAAGAACAAAAGAAGACACGAGAAAAAAACAAGAAACAGGAATACCGGTCTAAAGGTCTAGAGAAAGGAAGGTCTAGGGCCATGGGTCTAAAGGAAAACAACAACACAAAGAGTGCCGAGCAAGGCAACCCAGACCAAAGACCGGAAAGAACTCTTGGTGAACGCTTCCGCTTCAACTTCCGCTGCTTTCCGCTTTCAGGTGGTTCCGCGCGCAGCTGCTGAGAGCTTTCTGCCGAACTTCGAAGCTGAGTTCACCCAGCACAGCGGGTTCAGAGCCGTCCGGACGCTCAGACATGCTCAGACGGCGCCCCAACGCGTTTCTGAATTTAAGCTATTAGTAACAAGTGCCACGCTAGTAGTAACAGGTGCCTTACTAGTAGTAACAAGAAGCTACTAGTAACAAGTGCCACGCTACTAGTAACAAGAAGCTACTAGGAACAAAGGGCATCGCATTTGTTTCGTCATGAAAAGGTGCGGAACAAAGGCCTTCCATTGAACTTGCTCCTACTAGTAAGGCACTTGTTACTAGAAGCGATGACGAATCATTCTGTTTGCTCAGTCTACGTTTGTTTTCTCAAAGAACGGCACCCGAGCGCTGTAGATTCGGATGTTTCAGGTCATTGTCGTGGATGTGCATCGCGTGCAAGGTTCGTGCGGCTTTTCCATTCCCATCTTCGACTATGTGAGCGAGAGGGACATTCTGAAGGAAAATTTTGCCAAGAAGGACAATGATCAGGCCATCGTTTCCAGAACAGATGAAACATATCTGTTTTTTGGAGGCCATCGGTTGGAGGATGTTGGAGGCCATCGCAAGTAGGATAGAGACCATCGCTATTATATAGGTTGGAGTCCCTCGTCCCTGTTTCATATATGTCCGCTGTTTGGCTTGCTTTTCTTTCGAACGTCATCCAGATAGATGTGTCCAACTTCAAAGCGTAAGCAATTCACACAGTCAAGAATAGAAAACAAGGTGTACAATTGGGACTGTTGAAAACGATTTTCAATATGTTTTCAAACTTCTTTCTACATGGAAAAACATTCTGTTTCATTATGCACATGCCAAGGCGAATGACTATCGCATCTTGAAGAACAGCTTCTCCATTGACCTCCTCCCTTCGATTGGCCATCGTATCCTGAACAACAAGGCACCTTTGGTGGCTGCAAGGTTCAAAGAAGGCTTTTGGTTTGGATGCCTGGCAAGCCATTTTGGATGTATTGGGTGTATAAGTTTGTCATTTTTAGTCAGTTCCGGTAGTGTACACTCGGCTCGTGTTCTCAGCTTGCTGACTTCAGCGAAGCTGAACTGTGCTGACATCACTCCAAGCTAATAGCAATGGCCTCCCACCTACTAGCGGTGGCCTCCCACCTAGTAGTGATGGCCTCCAACCTAATAGGACATACAAATGAAATACAGGAAAGACTCTGCGTGAATGTACACAACCAATCAGAGACTGAACGAATGCCTTCACTGGTCCAAAGTTGTTTCACAAGAACCAACTGATCTGCTTTGCAACCAGCAACCAGAAATCCCAGCAACATCCAGCAACGGAAGACTCGCTCTTCCGCTTTGCGAGGAACGTCTCCTTCCCTTTTTGCTCCTAGTAGCGATGCCAGGAGCCCCTAGTAGCGATGCACTTGCTCCTAGTAGCGTCCTTGCTCCTGGTCCTAGTCCAAATTCTTCCATGAAATTGACATGAAATTGAGCAAAGCATTCTGCATGATTCTGCCATAGTGTGTCATGACTCAGCCAAAGACATGTGCTGGAAATGGCGGCCAGGAATGCACGCCGGAACGCCAAGCCTGGCAGAGCTAGCAAAAACTAAGTCAGGCAAACCACACGGCTTTGCGCCTCATGCTATTCTCGCAAATGAATGACAGGCTTTGTAAGAAGGCTGTTGGAGGCCATCGCTTCTAGGGTGCGATCCTATTTCTCATTCTGAAAGTGCAATCACCATCGCTACTAGTAGGTTCCTTTTCTACTAGGAGCAAAGGGCATCGCTAGTAAAGTAGGTTCCCATCAGGCAACCGATCTCCAACGGGTAGCCACCGATCCCAGACACCCGTTTGCTGTGGACTTCAACATACCTAGCTGTGAATCCTCTCGCCTGAAAGACTATGCAAGATTTAGTTGTCTTTTTCCTCAAGTTTTGCAAGGCCTTTTGTCTATCTGACGCTGAGGATACAAAGACATGAGTTGGCCCGAATGGATTTGGAGTTCATGGAACTTCTGGAGCTTCAGAGCCAATTTGCAGAGCAGAGACATCGCACTTCGGCTGAAGTCGAAGGCAGAGCTCTGACGAGTGGTGGAGGGGTTAAGGAAGGCCAGGAGCCCCTGGTAGCTTCTTTTTACTAGTGGCGAGGCCAGGGGCCCCTAGTAGCGTCCTTGCTCCTAGTAGTAAGGCCAGGAGCCCCTAGTAGGGTCCTTGCTCACGGTTCCCAGATTTCCTATGAACAGAATTCTTAGTTGGTTTCGATGAAAAGTCTATTAGCCATGGCCTCCAACCTACTAGCGATGGCCTCCACATAATCTTTTCTATTTAGTAATGTATATTCAGTACTCCTAAGTCGCTTGGCTTGCCCGGCAAGCCGTGGAACTTGCCCTTCCGATCTATTGCTGCAATGTTGCAAGGTGTCGCTACTTGGGGGAGGAGTTCCCTGCGGGCTCTACTCTACGTTGTTGGATTGCCATACCCAAGGTTGCTATTAGGTTGGAGGCCATCCCCAGTAGGTTGGAGGCCATCGCTATTCAAAGATTGGAGGCCATGGCTAGTCGGCTCGAATCCCCTGGCCTGATCTCAAGGCGATGATGGCCTTTGGCGGGTTGCTTGCCTTCGCGTGGTTCCAAGCCACGAGCACCAGGCCTGATGCCCTTCTGGAAACGATGCACGAAGGGTAAGCAATATAACTACTTATCTCTTTTGCAAATGACGCTATATATATATACATGTTTTTTTTGTCATTATTCTTTTTCTTTAGACAATCCTTTCTTTTTTTGTTTGTTTCAACACATGCGTGGAGTCGACAGCCAAGTGAGCTGAGGTCTGCTGATCCGTGAGCCCAGCTTGTGAGCATCGTGTTCTGCACGCAACCGCAACAAGGTTCAAAGGTTTCACGAACAGTAGCTTCTTGTTCCTAGTAGCGATGCCCTTTGCTCCTAGTAGCTTCTTGTTACTACTCGTAAGGCACTTGTTACTAGAAGCGATGCACTTGTTCCTAGTAGCTTCTTGTTCCTAGTAGTACGAATGCTCCTAGTAGCGATGCCAGGAGCCCCTAGTAGCATTCTTGCTGCTAGTAGCGATGCCCTTTGTTACTAGTAGCGTCCTTTCACCACCCACAAATCGTCTTACTGGACTTGCCCTGCAGGCTTTTCGACAGGCTTTTGCGCAACCGAACCATTTGGTTGTGTGCAGTTGTACAGACTGGCCACAGCCAGGAGGAAGTGTTTGAGCACGGATTGCAAGGAAGGTGTTCATGTTCACTCGTGTGCGGTTTGATTGTTAAGTCGCAAGAGTGTTATAGCAGCGCAGCATTTGAGGATTGTTGGAATACGTTTTGCACCTTGCTTGCTGAAAAAGACGGCAATCGCCCACTGCTGCTAACAGCCGTAGCCAGCCTCCAGGAAGGGCACGAGCATCGAATCACAGCCGCGGTGGGTGCGCCCGCCCAAAGCCCGTGCGGGGCGGGGTGTGGATGAAGATCCAGGCAGGCGCCGGTGCATCGCGGAGCGTCTGGCCGGACAGCTGCTTCAGAAGAGGAAGTTTCTTGATGTCGATTTGCTGCTGGTACTGAAGCATGGCATAACTGGAGACAGACTTGATTGAGCTTCAGCACCAGCAGCTATTAGGTTGGAGGCCATCGCTTCTAGTTGAGCGGGAGACCATTGCTATTAGTCTCTCGAAAGAAGATTGTTGTTTTAATTGTTTTCTTTAAGCTCCTCAGCTTTCCCGCACTCCCATCCAGCTACTGGTCGAAGATTTTGGAGCGATTGACGGCTGTTGAGTCAAGTGACGTCGAAAGAAAGCGCATTTAGATGGTCTAAAGGTCCAGGTCTTTGACGAGCAAAAATCTTGTAGGTTGGAGGCCATCGCACTTAAGTTGGCCAAAGAAAAGGGGAAGAAGCTCTCTTGAAGAGTGCTGCAAGAAACGGGTTCCCTTTCGGGCGACCTCCCGAGCTTTCGAAGATTGAGGTTCAGAGCTGCAAGTGCAATAGGAACATAGCAAAAGGCATATCTTGCGGAAATTCTGCTCCAAAAAAGATCAGAGAGTTTCACCTGTGTTTCTATCCTATATGGAAAGGTGAAAGCTGCATGCATCATCAGCAACGGTCGTGGAAAGAAGAACATCTTCAAAAAGTTGTATTTCCTTCGAATCCAGAAAAAAACAATACAGAGCAGCTATTAGGTTGGAGGCCATCGCAAGTAGGTTGGAGGCCTTTGCTATGAGTAACTCAAAGAACTTTTTTTCCTCCCCCTTGGCGCCATGCTTCTAGTAGCGATGCACTTGCTCCTAGTAGCGAACCGTGTTTCTACCATTAATAGCGAACCGTGTTCCT